AAAAAAAAAAAAAAAAGAGCTGCCAGCCTAGTGAGGGATACAGACAGGGAAATAAGTAAATGACAAACATTAGGGAATATGGACCAGTAGCAAGAGATTCAGAGAACAATGAAATAAAGCTGAACTCTTGGGAGTTCGGGAAAGGCTGGAGGACCCTGGGTTTTAAAAGATGATGATGAGCTTACCTTCATCAAAGGCATCAAAAAGGGCAATCCATTTGGCTTGTGGACATACATGAAGCAGTATGATGTGCTGGAATAACTGAAAACTGTTCCAAGTGGCTTGAGCATGATCTATATGATGGGAATTGTGGAAGTCACACAGGACCTCAGAGGCCATGCCAAATCCTTGGGGGGGCCTTGACCCAAGGGCACTAGGAAGCCTTCAGAGAGTTTAAAGCAGAGGATAATCAGGCGCAGCTTGGTATTTTTTATAAAGACCACTCAGGCAACTGTGTGATGGACCAGTTGGAGGCTAGAGGTGAGACCAGATGAAGCACATGGATCCAGAGAGGAAAAAGAGTTTTCTTGACAATCCTCAGGCAGTAATGTCAGCCCTAGACCTTCTGACTCCCAGTGCAGTGAATTTTTCATGGTTCTTGCCCCATTTTACAGAAGAGGCAACTGAGACCCAGAAAAGGAAAGTCACTGTGTCTAAGTGATAGACATGGGAGTAGAGCCCTGGTGATCACACTCTGTCCAATCTTTTGGTACCCCCACTCATTGGTGAGCTGGGGATAAGGGGCACTGTTGGGCTGTGCCTCCAGGTGGACTGAAGAATGCATGTGGCCGCAGGGCGTGCTGGTGAAGCACAGCAAGAACGTCTACAAAGCAGTGGGCCACTACAATGTGGCTATCCCCTCTGACGTCTCCCACTTCCGGTTCCACGTGAGTCTCTTTTCCCCTGGGCAGGAGGGGTGGGGCAGAAAGGTGATGGTCATAGCAAGAGACAGGTATTTTCAATGTTTCCCAAATCCAAAGAAGACACGCACACAGGCAGCAAAAGGACAGTTATACAAATTGTCACTTAATAACTACAGTTTACTTGATAACAGATCTTTCAAAACATTGGATGGAGGGAAAGATGATACAATAAAAGAAAAGGTTCTCAGTGGTGAAAATAACTATCTTCATCCTTATTTTGTGCTAAGCCCTTACCCAGAATCTGGAGAGAGATGTCAGGGCTATCCCTGTTTTCAGGGATACTGAAATTGGCATGGAGCGTTTAACTTGTTCAAGGGCGCTTTACTGAAACACTTGGGAATTAATGGTAGTGACTCATGACTCAGATATAGAAAGGACTGCTCAAAATCATCAAATTAAGTGGTCTCCATTTAATTTATTTTACTGCCAAAAACCTTTTTTCCAACACAGAAACCAGAGTCCAATATATAGGCCCTCATGGCACTGTTCTATTTAAATGAGTTGAAACCCTCTTGACTTCCTAAAGTCCATCTCCCCTTTTCTTTTTTTTTCCTGTCAAGACAGTTTCGCTTTGTCACCCTCCATAGTGTGCTGTGGTGTCAAGCTCATAGCAACCTCAAACTCTTGAGCTCAAATGATTCTCTGGTCTCGGCCTCCCAAGTTGCTGGGACTACAGGCATCGGCCACAGCGCTCAGCTATTTTTTAGTTGCAGTTGTCATTGTCGTTTAGCAGGCCTAGGCCGGGCTTGCACCTGCCAGCCTAAGTGTATGTGGTTGGCACCCTACTCACTGAGCTATAGGCGCCAAGCTACGGTCTTGAGCTCTTTAGCTCAAAGAATCCATGTGCCTTGGCCTCCCAGAGTGCTAGGATTATAGGTGTGAGCCACTGCACCAGCCCACTCCCTTTTTCTTTATTTTTAAATTTTTTTTTGAGACAGTGTCACTTGGTCATCCTCAGTAGAGGGCTGTGGCATCTTGGCTCACAGCAACCTCATACTCTTGGGTTTAAGTGATCCTCTTGCCTCAGCCTCCCAAATTGGGACTACAGGTGCCCACCACAACACCTGGCTATTTTTTAGAGATGAGGTCTTGCTCTTGGTCAGGCTGGTCTGGGACTTGTGAGCTTAGGCAGTCCACCCACCTCGGCCTCCCAAGTGCTAGAATTACAGGCATGAGCCACCACACCCAGCCTCATTTTTAACTTTTTTGAGATAGGGGTCTTGCTATATTGCCCATCTAGCCTCAAACTCCTGAGCTCAAGTGATCCTTCCACTTCAGCCTTCATAGTAGCTAGGATCACAGGTATGTGCCACCAGGCCCAAGGGACTCCTTGAAACCTGGGACTCTAACAAACACTGATCTGGGCTGGGCTGTTATCTTCATTGCACAGTTGAGAAATCTGAGGCCTAGAGAGGGACTTGTCCAAAGTCTTGCAGCCTGTCCGATACAGAGCTGAGCCTGACATCTCTTGTCTGCCACTTCTCTTTCCATCCTATAAGCAGCTCTTGAGGTTGAGGTACCTTGGCCCCCTGCAAAATCAAGACCCACAGACATTGAGCACTCTTTTGAACTGATTAGAAAACTTTTCGTGAGTTCCTATGCTCTACTTTGCCCTGAAACCCCATATAGGAATGAGGTATTGGGCCAGGCACGATGGCTCACACCTGTAATCCTAGCACTCTGGGAGGCTGAAGCAGGTGGGTTCCCTGAGCTTACAGGTTCAAGACCTGAGCTAGAGTGAGACCCCCATCTCTAAAAATAGCTGAGTGTGGCTTGGCACCCATTGCTCTGTGGTTAGAGCACTGGCCACATACACGGACCTGGCGGGTTCGAACCCAGCCTGGGCCTGCTAAACAATGACAACTAAAATAAAAAAAAAAAAATCTGAGCATTGTGGTGGGCACCTATAGTCCCAGCTACTTGGAAGGCTGAGGCAGGAGAATCACTTGACCCCCAAAGTTTCAGGTTTCTGTGAGCTAAGACACCACAGCACTCTACCGAGGGTAATAAACTAAGACTCTGTCTAAAAAAAAAAAAACAACAGGTATTGCCATATTCCTGGAAAGCTTCCAGCCTAGCTAGGGATGCTGCTGTGCATGAACTATTAGGTAACTCAAGCTATAGTCTATAACAACCTTCCATGCCTATGTCATAAGATTCTGCTTTGTTCAGGCTCCATAATACCCAGGAGGATGACATATAAAAAGGTGTTGATTTTAGACCAGAAATAGTTTGAGAGAGCAAGTAAGACCTCTCAAGAAAGGGCTCCTGGAGGAGGTAGAAGTTGAACAGGATCTTAAATGACTTATGTGGGAAGCAGCAGTCGTCCCAGGGGGTACACCACAAGCAAAGGCAGCTGAGGTGGCAGAGTCCATGCTAAGCCCTACGAAGTCTGCCTCCTCACCCAGGTCTGCATGGGGTCCCAAGAGCTTGCCCCTACCCAGAACCCAATTCCGAGAGGCAGGTTTCAGGAGCATACCTTCCAGCTCTTGCCTACCCCTTTCTGGGCAGTTCTTTTTCAGCAAACCCCTGCGGATCCTCAACATCCTCCTGCTGTTGGAGGGCGCTGTCATTGTCTACCAGCTGTACTCCTTAATGTCCTCTGAAAAGTGGCACCAAACCATCTCACTGGCCCTCATCCTCTTCAGCAACTACTATGCCTTCTTCAAACTGCTTCGGGACCGCCTGGTATTGGGCAAGGCCTATTCGTACTCGGCCAGCCCTCAGAGAGACCTGGACCACCGGTTCTCCTGAGCCCCAGGGTGACCTCAGGGACAGCATCCAGGCTTTGGCCAGGGGCTCCCTGACAAGGGGCTATTGGGGAGGGGTGGGGGGACAAAGAAAAAAAAAGACAAAAAAATTCACCAGAGCTTTGTATTTTTGTTACGTACTGTTTCTTTGATAATTGATGTGATAATGAGGAAAAATGTCCTATTTTTATACTCCCAACAAGCTGTGTCCTGTGGTTCTTTCCCTTCTCCCTGTGAGGCAGATTGCAGAGGTGCGGGAATCTGGGTTAGGAAGGCCCACATGCAGCTTCTGAAGCCTCTGGGCTCCACCTTCTCCAATGGGGAGGAGATGAGGAGACACCAGAGGCTGTGGTAGCAGTGACAGCTGCTGCTAACTGAGTGGCCATCATATACCAGGTGCTCTTTGTGTGTTTCAGGCCTTGCCATAATCTAACCTTTATGGCAACCCTAGGAGTGCTATTACTCCCATAGACAAAGAACTGGAGCATAAATTTAGAGTTACAGTGACCTGGTAGAACTGAGCGTAAATTTACTTCTGGACTGGGTGCCCTGGCTAGCACTTTGAGAGCCTGAGGCAGGAGGATCCCTTGAGGCCAGGAGTTCAAGACCAGCCTGGGCAACAGAGACTCCATTTCTACAAAGAATAGAAAATTCAGCCAGATGTGATGGTGTGCTTCTATACTCCCAGCTACTTGGGAAGCTGAGGCAAGAGAATCACTTGAGCCCAGAAGTTGAGGTTGCAGTTGAGCCCAGGAGTTCAGCTATGATGACACTACTGCATTCTATCTCCAGCAACAGAGTGAAACCCTGTCTCAATTAAAAAAAAAAAAGAAAGAAAGAAAGAAAGAAAAACAAACCTGGTGGAGAGTGGACAACTGAAAGATGACACTACTCCCCTAGCAGAATGATTCTCTCTCAGGTGTAGTCACTGAGACCCTGCTTTGTGCCGGGTGCTGTGGTAGTGAGGCATCTTGGAGGAGGTGATAGTTTTGAGTTGTATTAGCCATTTCCTAGGTGGACAAAAGAGGGAAAGACATTTCTTTCTTTTTTTTTTTGAGACAGAGCCTCAACCTGTGCCCCTGGGTAGAGTGCGGTGGCATCACAGCTCACAGCAACCTCCAACTCCTGGGCTCAAGAGAGTCTCCTGCCTCCGCTTCCCAAGTAGCTGAGACCATAGGTGTCCACCACAACACCCGGCTATTTTTTGGTTGCAGCCGTCGTTGTTTGGCGAGTCTGGGGTGGATTCAAACCCGCCACCTTAGGTGTATGTGGCTGGCGCCTTAGCCACTTGAGCCACAGGCACCAAGCCGGAAAGACATCTCAATGAGAGAAACAATTGCGTGTAATAGCACATACATTTGGAACATCCTGGTATGCTCTGGAGAAAGTAAGTAGAATATGGTTCCTAGAACAGGAAAGATAAGGAAAATGGGAGGCCAGGCACAGTGGCTCACACCTGTAATCCTAGGAGAGACAGGCAGATTGCTTGAGATCAGAAGTTCGAGACCGGCTCGGCGCCTATAGCTCAACCGGC